CCCAAGACGTAAGAATATTTGATGTTCTACTCATAATATCCCCACCTTCCAGCTCTTGTATTCACTTATTCCCATTGTACCTGCTTTCCAACCTGACTATGGCTTCCTCAAACCTTTCCTCCCCATCTCTTAGCCCTCCAGTTAATCTAATAGCCTTCCCCCCCCCCCACCTTTCTATTCTCACTAGAAAAAGTGGCTCTCTCCGGCCTGTTCCCAAGGAATCTCTACTGTAACTCTGGACTCTAGCCCCACCCCCAAATCCTAATTTATCAATTATTTACTCTATCCTCTAGGTTTTCAACTTATCTTTCCCTGTTGGGTTTTCCTCTAGCACACTAGACATGATCATATCTCGTGAAAGAACTACCAAAAAAAAAAAAAAAACAAACATGATCTGATATTCTCCTTATCTAGATTTCTCTCCTTTCTTTCATGGCCCAGTCTCTCACCCACTGTTACCCCACACACTCTTCGCCCCTCTGAAACCTGACTTCTGTCCTCCCCACCCTTCTGAAACTCTTCCTGACCAGACTCCAGTGACCTAACAGGCCACAATGATCCTATTTCACTTCTTATCAGATTTGGCGCCATCTCTAGAAAGCTTTTCCTTCTGCTTCTGTGACACCCACTCAGTGGTGTTCCTCTTCACCTCTAGAAGCTCCTTCTAAGTCTCCCTAACAGGATTCTTTACCTCCTTCTCCTTGGTAAATCATGAACCTCATTTCACCCTCCACCTCCTTCCCATCCCACTGCCTGTACTTCTCTCTCTAAGCAATTTTGTCATTGCCTAGGGCTACAGTGGTCATTAACATATGCTAATCTCATGCATTCTTGGAACCTCAAACCTACATTGCTTTCTGGATATTCCTGTTTTTATGGCCCATAGGCACCTCAACCTTAATATGCACCAAACGGAATTTATCATCTTTCCCATTTTCAAAACCAACTCTTCCGTTCTTTCTATGTAGATGATAAACATCCAGCCAGTGACTCAGGCTAAATGCATGAGAAGCCAAGCTTGTCCCTCCCCCTCTCTGCTCGCCCTCCCCCACCCAGCTCCTCTGGCTCCAAATCCTGTTGAATTTACCGACTAGCTATATCTCTTCAATCCATCTGGTCATCTCCCGTTCTTTAACACAGCTGAACTCAGAGCTTTTGCAACCTTTTTCTGGATCATCTCAATAACTTCTGGACTGTTCTCCCTACTAAGAGCTTCATCTCCCTCCTCCAGCCTAAAGACTTGATACTGTTTTTTTTTCTTTTTCTTTAAAGATTTTATTTATTTATTCATGAGAGAGAGAGAGAGAGAGGCAGAGACATAGGCAGAGGGAGAAGCAGGCTCCCAGCAGGGGCCTATCCCTGATGAGGGACTCTATCCCAGGACCCTGGGATCATGACCTGAGCCAAAGGCAGCCGCTCAACCACTGAGCCACCCAGGAGCCCCTGATATTGTTTTTTTTTTTTCTTTGGCATTGTTATTCATTTATGTCTTTTTTTCCCTTTCGTGTCTTTTTCTTTTTAAGATTTTATTTATTTACTTGAGATAGAGAGCACAGGAAGGGAGAGTGGCAGAGGGAGAGGGAGAAGGAGGCACCCCGTTGAATATGGAGCCTGACTCAACTCAGAGCTTGACTCCAGAACCTTTGGATTGTGACCTGAGACAGAAGGCAGTTGCTTAACCAACTGAGCCATCCAGATACCCCTTTAGTGTCTCTTTTAAACTAAAAAGCAATATACTTTTATTGTAAAATAGTCAAAAAGTTTCTAAAGCTATATGGAAGAAGTCACCCTGATCCAGTCCTCAAATCTTACTCCCAAATAAGCCTTTTTTCCCCTAAAAATGTTATTAAATATGATGTATTTCTTCTACTTTTTTTTTTAAAAAAAGATTATTTATTTAAAGTGAGTGCATACAAGCAGGCGGAAGGGCAGAGAAAGAGGGAGAGAGAATCTCCAGCAGAATTCATGCTGATCTCAGAGTCAATGTGGGGCTCGAGTCCACCACCCCGAGCCAAAAATCAAGAGCCAGAGCCTCAACCAACTGAGCAACCCAGACGCCCTTCTATTTCTTCTACTTTAAGAGGCACCTTTCCCTCCCTCACATTTAACATCTCTGAAACCAAAATGTATCATACAACCCAGGGCATCTTAAATTTGGTTAAATGCACTACAGTTCTGCAAAGTGCTATTTTTACTTGTTAATATGGGTCAGGATTCCAAACCAACACTGCCTCCAGGCTGATCTTTGTAAAGTACGAATCTGGTCTGGTCACTGCCTTCCCCCCAAATTCTTCAAAGCTCCCCCTACCCCATGCTGGCTCTCATTCTCTGACTCTCCCCTATGCTTCCAGTCTCCTTTCCAGCACATCCACACACACTGTCTCCCTTAAAGCCAAGTAGTTCTATTTGCAGTTAGTTCCCCAAATACACCATGCTGAGCCAGCTCTATGTGCTTTTATCCAATATTTTCTCAGCCTCTTCCTCACCTCTTCTACACAAAGTTGCTCTGACTGGAAGATTGCCTGCTCCCCCAGGCTAAGCCTCGGTTTTCCTTTGCACACCACCCCTTATCTCCTTCAGCATTTGGTGCACATCTCTGTGATTTCTCCAGAAATCACTTAACACAGGTTCACACCATTTCTCTTTTTTGTTGCTCCCAGCAGATAGCAAGTTCTTGAGCAAGCTTTCTTCTTTACATCCTTTCTTCTTTACATCCATTTCTAGTAGCTCCAGAACAGCATGGCTGCTCCATAAATATTTTTTGAAATAATGGCCTGTACAGGAGAGAGGCATTAAAATGCTCCTGAGGTAAGCCGAGGAACATTCTAATTAATCATCCTGGAACCTGGGATCTGAAAGAGAAAAAGGAGGAGACACGATCTGGATGCTAAACCCCTGTGCACCCAGAAATCTAAAGTAATTTGGATTTTTTTTTCTTCTCTTTCCCTGCATCTGCTCCTCAGACCTACTAATTCCACCCTTGACTACAGATAATCTGATTCCAACAACCATGCCTTGATGAGCCCCTTCTCTCTCCCTGGTTCTTTTAAGCACTTCAAGTTCATATTATTCCTCCTTGTTGCCACAAGACCTCTTTTTTAACCAGAAAGTTTGAAAAATACTAAAGGGGTTAAGAGGTTCTTTTCACTCGCCAGTCTACAATGCCCACCCAAGTTGACCACTTGGACTGCCTCCTGCCCTAGGTGTGGACACACCTCTCAATTCCACCAAGACCCCCCACCAGGAAATAAACACAAAAGGAAGCTGAAGCCTAATACAAAATCTATATTTTACTAACCATCCTAAAATCTTGATGTTAATGTTCCACCTCAGCAAAAACCACTATCCCGCTCTCAACCCAGTATTGGGTTTGAATTAGAGAAAATGAAAATGCCAGAAACAGACACAAATGTTTCCCAATTCTTCTTTTTGACCCAGATCATTCAAAGCTAAGGATTCCAATTCATCCATGGAAAACTCTCAGGGTGCTACTGCAGACTTAAGATGAAGCTCAGCTAACATGGTCCATGTGACAGGCACTAGATTGGTCTATGTTGACAATTGTAGGGCCAACATACTTTCAATACTCTCCCTTAGAAAAGGACAGGGACTCATGAAGCAACCAAAAATAGAGCAGAAGGAAAAGTGGAAGGATAAGGGGAAGTATAGGAGAGAAAAGGGGTAGGATAAGGCAGGAGAAAATAAAGACTTTATGATAGGCAATGTAGCTGAAGAAAAGAATGGGGGAGGGCAGGGCACCTGGGTGGCTCAGTGGCTGAGCCTCTGCCTTTGGCTCAGGTTGTGGTTCTGGGGTCCTGGGATCCTCCTCTCCTCGAGGAGCCTGCTTGTCTCTCTGCCTGTGTCTCTGCCTCTCTGTGTGTCTCTCATGAATCAAAGAAAATCTTAAAAAAAAAAAAATGAGGGAGGGCATGGAACCATCTGTAAACAGGTGGAACAATAAAAGTAACGGGCATGGAAACAGGACCTCAACTCAAAGACCTCAATCACAGAAAGCGCCAGGCCAAGAAGTGGACGGATCAAATGAAAGGGCGCAGCGGCTGGCAGGAAAAGCGCTGTGACTCTCCAGTCTTGAGGCCAGTGAAAAAGACGGCTCTGGTCTACAGGTGGACCCAGAATTGGGAAGTTCGCACCTCTCGATGGAGAACGAGAGTCAAGGGGCCACCGTGAGGTCTGGAGTGGTGGGGCCAAATCAGGCAAGCTTGCAATTTGTTTCACAGCGTGCGGGGGTGGGGTGGTTGGGGCTTTACATCCGGAGAGAAAAGACCCCAGGCCCCAAGCCGCCACAAAATGCACCGCACAAAAATCTCTTCTGTTCACGAACTTCGAAGTCAATAAAAAAGAAGTAACGCCAGACAGCAGGTCCCTTCACTGCATGATCCCTGTTCCTTTAAAGCCGCTGAGGCGATCAACCCTGAACCTGGCTTCTCCTTAACGTGAGACAATTCCTCACGTTAGAAGAAAAAGAAAGGCCGGAACCACCGGCTACGTTGCCGAGTGATTTCTCTCTTCAGTGCCGACCGGGCGTGGTTGGGTCTTGCGGCCGGGCCGGGCCGGCCGGGCCGGGCCGGGGAGCAGGCCCGCCGGGAGGCCCGGATCGGGAGCGGCGTGTCGGGGATGCACAGCGGGTTCCGCACCCCGGGTTCCCCCGACCTCGGTACCGCCCGGGGGTCCGCCGGTCAGGGCCCGCTCCCGGAGCCCGCAGAAGGCCGGAGCAGTCACGCCTTCCTCCGCACCCGCCCGCTCTCGCCGTAGCTGACGCAGCCCGGGGAGAGGGCAGGAGCGGGCCGTCCGCGCTTCCGTGTTCCGCGTGGCCAGACCCAGAAGAGCGGCCGCTCGCTCACCTGCCGCCGCGTCCCCGCCCCGCGCTTCGCTGCGGGCTCCCGCGGGCCGCTCGGCTCCGGCGCGCTCGGGCTCGGGCTCGGGCTCGGGCTCGGGCCGGGGAGACCGACCTCCGGGCGGAAGGACGCAGGAGGCGGGCCGGGCCCTTCCCCGAGCCGGGGAGGAGGCGTCGCCGGGACGCAGGTGCAGCGGACTCCGACCTGTCTCGGGAACTTTCGCGGCGGCGCAGGCGGCCCGGGAGCCGCCTCCCCGCGGGCCGCGTTCGGGTTCTCCGCCCGGGGCCGCTTCCCCGGGAGCCCGCGCGGCGCTCGGCGCACTCGGGGGCTGCGAGCAGCGCCGCGCTCCTCGGCCGATGGGGGCGGGTGGCGCCGCCCCGGGCGCAGGTGGCACCCGACAGGCCGGAGCTTCGGCTGCTGCGGGAAGCGCAGGGAGAGGACAAAGCTGACACCCGGGGCCGGGGGCACCAAGGCAGCGATGGCCCGAGAGTTAAGCCAAGAGGCACTGCTGGACTTTCTGTGCCAGGCCGGGGGAAGAGCGACCAACGCCGCCTTGCTGAGCCACTTCAAGCGCTTCCTCCGAGACCCCGACGCGCCCCCCAGCCAGCACCAGCGCCGCCGCGAGCTCTTCAAGGGCTTCGTCAACGCGGTCGCCGCAGTGCGCCAGGACCCCGACGGCACCAAGTACGTGGTGCTCAAGAGGAGGTACAGGGACCTTTTGGGGGAGGAGACGCTGCAGCGACCCCGCGACCCGCCCGCGGCCGCCGCCCCTGCCGGAGGAGCTGCGTCCAGCTCTCCGCGAGGCGCGTGCGGGGGACAGCAGCCGCCGCAGCCTCCCGGGGGGCGGCGGCGCGAGGAGGAGCCCGAGCAAGAGCCAGCAGGTGCCGCAGCCCCAGCCGCGCGCGCAGGTTGCAACGGACTCGCAGGCAGCCGCGCCCGGGAGGCGACCCCGGGAGGCGGCTCTGGCCACCGGGCAGCAGCGAGGTGCGCGGCCGCGGAGACGCGAGGCCGCTGCGGCTGGGAAGGCCTCCAAGACAGCCTGGAGGGACTGCCCGGGAAGCAGGGGCTCGGGGCAGCCCCGGACCCCGCCGCCCCCGGGGAGAAGCCGGCGCGTGCCCCGCCGGCGCAGGATGACCTCGGGGCTGCCGCTGAGCACGCACCGGGGCCCGCAGCGCCCTGCTCGCCTCCCGCAACCGTCAAGGCTGTTGGCAGCGGGGCTTCCCCGCCTGCTCTCCTGGCCGGTCCCATTGCCCCCGGAAGCCCACCGGAGCTGCTGCCCCTGGGCTCTCTGCCTCGCTCCACCCCGCAGCAGCAGCGGCGGCGCACTTGGGAATGGGTGGCCAGGCATCCCCAGGCGCCCAAGGCCCGTGACCAAGGCCCCATCCGAGCCTGGTCAGTGCTACCGGACAACTTCCCCCAGCTACCCTCGGAGCTGGCCCTCTGGGTCGGGAAACCTCACTCGGAGCCTGCAGACCCCACGCTTTCCTCTCATTCTGTCCTTCCTGTTGTTCCGGAATCCTGTCCCGAGAACCCTCCTTTGACAGTCTTTCGTAGTATTCGTTGTCAGCTGTCCCTCCAAGATCTGGATGACTTTGTGGACCAAGAGAGTCATGGCAGTGAGGAGAGCAGCAGTGGGCCCAGGGAGTCTCCTGGGGGTTCTGAAGGGGGGCTGCAGGTTGCTCTGGGAACCCCAGATTGGAGAAAGCTCAGGAATCCAGCAGGAGGTCTTTCTCCAAAGGAGGGCAGCCCAGGCAGGAGTCCTCAGGGCCTCAGGAACAGAGGGGATGGTCACACCTCTCAGCAGGTCTCAACAGAGGCTAACGGCCTTGCAGGCCACCCCCAGGAGTCTTTACCCTGGCCAGCTCCCAAGTTAAGGAGATCCCTCAGGAGGAGCTCTCCGGCAGGGATAGCCAAATTATCTTCTTCTGATGAGGAGTATCTTGAGCACGACTTGCTTAAAAGGACTCGTCGCCCACCACGATCCAGGAAACCCTCCAAGGCAGGAGCAGTGTCCAGCCCAAGAGTGGATGCTGTTTTGATACCAAAGCCTGCAGACATGAAGGCTGCTGTTGCTGAGCGGGATTGGCCATACACCTCCTGGGCCCGGGCTGGGGTGGAGTCTACAGCCTTGGTCCCACAAAGACCTGAGCACAAGTCATCTGTGATCCCCCTAGATGCCAGGGAGCATGAATGGATTGTGAAGCTTGCCAGTGGCTGTTGGATTCAGGTGTTGACTTTGTTTTGGGAGGACCCCCAGCTGGCTCTGCACAAAGACTTCTTGACTGGGTACACTGCGTTGCACTGGATAGCCAAACATGGTGACCTCAGGGCCCTCCAGGACTTTGTCTCCAGTGCACAGGAAGCGGGGATTGCTCTTGATGTGAATGTGAAGTCCAGTTGTGGATATACCCCTCTGCACCTTGCAGCCATTCACGGCCACCAGGGGGTCATCAAATTGCTAGTGCAAAGGTTGGCTTCTCGGGTGAATGTCCGAGACTGCAGTGGAAAGAAGCCATGGCAGTATCTGACCAGTAATACCTCGGGGGAAATATGGCAGCTACTAGAAGCTCCTCGGGGCAGGCCCATTTTCCCCGTCTATCCTTTAGCCCGAAGCTCTTCCCCCACCAGGAAGGCCAGGAGCCGGGAAATATCTAGAAATATCACTCGCAAGACTTCCTTTGCTGCACTACTCAAAAATCAGCACAGCAAGTGGAAATTGGCCAACCAGTATGAGAAATTCCCCAATCCAAGAGAAAGGGAAGAGTACAGTGACTGAAGTGGTCCTCTCTTTCCAAATATGCAGCCACCACACCCTCATCCTTGAGATGCTCAGTGTGAAAATTCAAGGGCAATAGAAAAATTGCAGAGGTGTTGGTAAGGAAAAGATTGATCATGTGAGATGGCCTACCTTGTGTTCACCTGCCTGGATTTTATGTCAGCATATCCCGGACCTTAAGGAGTCATCCAGGCTTTCTGGCAGCTCAAGTCTCTGGGCCAGTGAAACCTAGACATAGAGCAGAGTCAGGTGTTTAAAAACCTAGGAGGTGTTCTTCCTCTTTCCTTGCCACCACAGATCTGGGCACAGTGAGCCACATTGTTTTCCGAAGCAGCTACCCCAGGCCTTGGCTATAGAAGGAACAAATATCTAAGAGAAAGGGAGGCAATTCAAGGGATTAATGAAGCACCAAATCTCTCTGGCTAGTAGCTCTCTGGCTCCTATTCATTTGAAGGCTAAATCTTGGCTGAGAGTGGAAAGCACCAGGTTTGAAATCACATGGCTCTTGTATCCTCGTTTTTCTTGTTTCCTTTCCTCCTTCTTCCTTCCTTCCTTCCTTTTTTCTTTCTCCTCTTTCTTTCTTTCTTTTTTTTTTTTAATATTTCATTCATTTATTCATGAGAGACACAGAGACAGAGAGAGGCAGAGACGCAGGCAGAGAAGCAGTCCCTATGCAGGGAGGCCAATGCGGGACTGGATCCTGGAACTCCAGGATCACGCCCTGGGCTGAAGGCAGTGCTAAACCGCTGACCCACCCAGGCTGCCCGCTCTTTCTTTCTTTCTTTCTTTCTTTCTTTCTTTCTTTCTTTCTCTTTCTTTCTTTCTTTCTTTCTTTCTTTCTTTCTTTCTCTCTTTCTTTCTTTCTTTCTCTTTCTTCTTTCTTTCTTCTTTCTTTCTTTCTTTCTCTTTCTTTCTTTCTTTCTTTCTTTCTTTCTTCTTTCTTTCTTTCTTTCTTTCTTTCTCTCTCTCTCTCTCTCTCTCTCTCTCTCTCTCTCTTTCTTCTTTCTTTCTTTCTTTCTTTCTTTCTTTCTTTCTTTCTTTCTTTCTTTCCAAATCAGTGAAAATGAAATTATTACTGGAGAGTAGAACTTGATTTAAGAGATTCCTGGGCCCTATCTTCCAGTCTTCCTTTGAATGTAACCTAAGGTGGCTAATGTGTGAAATGATTAGTGCCTTTTTGGGTCTCTTCTCCGCAATCAAAGAAGCGGTTAGGTAAGATCCAGTTATGATTGACATTTAAGGCTTTCTTAAAAAAAAAAAAAAAAAAAAAAAAAAACGGGGATCCCTGGCTGGCTCAGCGGTTTGGCGCCTGCCTTTGGCCCAGGGCGCGATCCTGGAGACCCGGGATCGAATCCCACGTCGGGCTCCCGGTGCATGGAGCCTGCTTCTCCCTCTGCCTATGTCTCTGCCTCTCTCTCTTTCTCTCTCTGTGACTATCATAAATAAATAAGAATTAAAAAAAAAAAAACCTAAGGGAAACTTTCCAAATGTAAAAGCTATTGGTTCATTTGCATAGTTGCTGAAACCATCTTTCATGGAAACTTCCCGTGTAACAAATGGCAAAATCAGCATTAGTAGTTTTCAATAGGATTGAATGGCTACCATTGATGTTCTGGGGAAGCAGTAAGGGTTAAGAGGTAAATACTACCTCACCAGGAATTTTCTAAGCTGCTAAAAATATTATTTTATTTGCACTAAACTTATTGCCAATTAAGATGAAATATTAGCCTTGAAGTGTTGTATCTCTAACAGGAAGTGGTCCTTTTAATTGCTTGTGATGGTTTTGATCTTTGTGGGTCCACGGAATTCTGTATATTGCAGGAGAACACTGAGATCTCAGAACGTTGATCTCTTGGAACATAAATTCAAAGACGGCTGAAAAATTAAATGTCCATATGGAGATTGTTAATTTTTTATGGAATGTTTTCATGTGCTATGGCAAGGATGCTGTATTTTCACAGTATTTTCTTGTTTCTTCTGGATATTTTTCCCCATTAAAATATCAACAAATCTTTATAAATTATTGTACTTATGCTGATTACTGTTAATCTCTTCTTCACAAAATTATGTTTCAATGAATGTAAAATATTTTTCTTTCTTTGTAGTTTTACATTATAATTTTGCTGAAATAAATAGATTTCTGTCCTATTAGAAAACAAAAGATAGGTATAATAAATAAGTCTAAGGGTTGTTTCTTCAAAAAAGACCTATATAAGAGATGAAGCTTTAGCAAATCAAATCAAGAGAAAAGCAGCACTCACGGACGGTGGGGACATGGTTCCAAGAGATGAAATTTGAAAGAACTAAAGATAAACAATCATATAAATACTCTAGTAAGCGAGTAATTTTCAAGGAAAAAAAAATAAAATATCAACTGCCTTTAAAAGTCAAAGAATGTTTTTAATTTACCATATTTTCATCACAGCATAAATTTATTCAACAAATATATTTTGCCTAGTGCTGTGGGATTTACAAAGGTGAGTGGGATGTGACTTCCTAAAACTTAAAATCTAACAATTCATCTTAACTTAAAATCAATGAGATTTGTTGCTGATTTATTTATACCTTATCTTGCTCCCAAGGTGCCTTTTAAAGCTGCATTGTGTTAGATACAAGCTTTTAAAATGAGACAGAAAAGAGGCGGTACTAGGAATGAGGACAAAGCTACCACAGTGCAAGAAAAAATTTTCAAAGTATCCTAAGTACAAAATTATGTACTCCAGAGAATTTCATAGGAGGGATTTCCTTGGGCTGGGAAAGTCAGGGAGGGCTTCACAGAGGTGGGGAATGTTCAAGTGAATGCTGCTGACTTTCCAAAGAAACCAGTTTTATTGGTTCTACCACATTCTTGACATCTGCTCCAGTGTGTGATTTGCATAGCACTGGTGTTGACTGAATGCTTACTGGTTAGAACACAGTATGGATCTCAAGTTGATTCTCATGAGGGCTCAGGTCCCTTTTGCCTTGGTCCACACATTGTACCTATGACTTTGGTCAACTCTCTTACATGGTCAACATGTATATTAGGAGGGGGCAGGGTGGAAGATGTTGAGAACAGAGTAAAATACAAATCTGATTGTGTCACTCTCTTGCTCAAGTCATAAAGACCACACTAGGAGGGTTGGCAGGCCTAGCACATTTTTCCAGCCTCCTGCCAACCACTCCCTGCCATGAACCCTGCCACTGAAGCTGTATCAGACCCATTGGAGTGCTAAGGGCCCCACCCTCTCAGTTTCTGTCTTGGTGCTGAATTCCCTTGGTTTAGAATCCCTTTCACTGTTTAACTAGTGACCTTACACTTATTTTTCAAGGGTCAGCTCAACTGTCAATCCTCTAAGAAGAGTCCAGGGTAAATACCTCCAAGCCAGAAGATGTATAGTTCTTTCATCAGAATTCTCCTAGTACTGTGTACACACCTCACTTAGAGTTTTTGCCACATGGTATTTTAGTAAATTGTTTGAACGTTTTATTTTTCCTGAAGACTTTGAACCAATCTGGAAATTGGAGAATGTGTTTTCAATTCATCAAAAGTTAACAGATATTTATGGCACATCTACTATGTGATAAAGATATCATTCCTGCCTTCAAGAATTCCTAGTTTATTGGGGAAGGTGGGCCACTGAAAAATAATTTCAGTAGTGCAATGTAGGTGGATAGATGTGTGCATCTAGACTATGAGAATATGGAGAAAGGGATATTTATGGAGAATTTTCTTTATGCTAGTCTCCACGCTTATACTGGAAATTCAACATGCAATAAGATGTATGCGTTTCCTGCTCTTGTGGCACTTTCCTGGACCAGGGAAATCACGAATATAAGATGGACGTTAGATGGGCTTTGAAGGACCAATTGGAGAAAGGAGGAAAGAATATTCCAGAAGGAAGGAGCTTGAGTAAAGCTGCAGGATGTGTTTGGGGGATACTTGAACACTTGTGGCTGTGGGGAACACAGAGCCACTGCTGTGTGACAGAAGTGAGGTGGTGTGGAAAGAGACGAAGATGAAAAGGTCATTTAAGGCCAGGTTGAAAACAAGGGTCTTTTATGCTATGTAGATAAATATAGGCATTTTCCAGGAAGCCAAGGACTGTCAAAACTCCTCCAGAGAACCTTAGTGTTACTCCAAATACAGATGTTTTCCTAAAGCTTTAATATGAAGACAAAAAATAGATGTCAATGTTTTAGATAGGAGGTACTCAAAAGTTTCCCTTTCAAAATTTCCTTATATCTTCAGTGTTGTTAATGCCTGTTTGCTATGAAGTAGTGGTAGGCAATAGAATAATTTGACAAATGGCAATTTAATACTAAAGGCAAACAGCAGAAATTGTTGATAATCTTAGCTCAACACTTGCCTTTTTTTGTAGACATGGTTGTAAATTAGTGAATTTCAATCTTATATATGGTATATACAATAGTCTTGCTTCCTGCTGTAAAACTGCTTATGGTTCAACATTTCAGGATGTTACACATAGCATGCCGAGACTTCCATATGCTTTTGATTGTAAATTTTTTAAAAATACCATTGAGATGGGTCACCTGGGTGGCTCGGCGGTTTGGTGCCTGCCTTCGGCCCAGGGTGTGATCCTGGAGACCCGGGATCGAGTCCCACGTCGGGCTCCCTGCATGGAGCCTGCTTCTCTCTCTCTGCCTGTATCTCTGCTTCTCTCTCTGTATCTCTCATTAATAAATAAATAAAATCTTTTTAAAAAATACCATTGAGATACAATTCACATACTATATAATTCACCTACTTAAAACATACGATTCATGGGTTTTAGTATATTCACAACCATTACCACAATAACTTCCTTTACAAGTTTGAGAACTACTGACCCAGGCAAAGGGGAGCCATTGACAGTATAATGCATAGGAATGATACACATTTTTTTAATCACATCATTTTATTACTGTAAATGAAAGTCTAGTTTCACGGTAACACTAATCTAAGAGTGTGAAATTCTGTACAGGCTGGTTAGTACAGCAGTGCTGGTGTGTGTGCTTGTTTGCTCACATCAAGCAAATGATTAAAAATGTGTAATGAAAGCATAGGAAAGTACAGTATTTAAGATCATGACAATGAAACTAGTTTGCCTTGGGTTCCTGTCCTGGCTTGGACAAGACCTTCAACTTCACAATTTTCTCATTTTTAAGATTTTTTTTTTGAGAGAATCAAGTAAATTAATACAAAGCCCTTAGAAAATGCCTGGCATATCATAAATATTGAACAAATTAGCTGTTACTATTTTAAACACCCATTCAAAATATACTGATCACTTTAAATTTCCATCTATGCTAAAGACAAAAAGTCCTTTAGTTGATTAAAAAGATGGGATAAGAACAAGATTTGCTAATCAAACATTTTTCCTTATGTTCTTACATAAAAAGTTGCTTGTGTTGCTCATTTCAGATGAAAAAGTCTATTTTATTATTCCTTGTGTGTAACAATCATTAGCTATTATGGTATGTCACTAAACAGAATTGTGTCTAAATGAAGTCACATAAACAAATATTTGTCAAATTAGCAGCTCTGTTCTGGCCTGGAACTAAAACCCAGGCAGAGGTCCAAAGGGGTGAGTTTGTGGAGAGTTGAGTGTATGGGTGTGTGAAGCCACTGTCACTGATGAAATTTAAGATGTCTAAATTCAACTATCCAGTAATCTCTATCAAAATTCCACTAACTTGGTCAAAGTGAAGTCTCACTGAAGTGGATTAAAAATTATTGACATTGGGGCATCTGACTGGCTCAGTCAGTACAGCACACAGCCCTTGATCTTGGAGCTATTAAGTTTGAGCCCCATGTTAGGTAGA